TCCACACTTTATACTCCTGCTAAATTGATGAGGTGGAATTTCAGGTAGCTTTATTTTGCAACTACTGTTTGTGATATCAACTTTACTAATGCTAACAACAATATCAATTAACATTTGACAGAAACTTACCGCTGGCTTGTCGGTTTTTGCTTCTATGTCTAATAGTTCCTCTTCTGTTTCAAAAGTGTCATCCTTTTCAGTAACATAGTATTCCATTCGAAGGGTTCCACTGCAACAAAAACTTTTTGCAAAGCCTTGAGCTTCATATCTATTTTGATTTTAGTCATATGCTGGAATTACTTGCTATGATGGTCTCTATGCTGGTTAACTGGCTTCTTTCGCTTTAATACAACTACAGTGGCCATTTTATACTAATACAAACTTATTACTTAACAGAAACAAAACTAACTCCAAAAGTGGGCCAATTTTTCTTGGTGTAAGTATGAGAGATGATGACGCTGGTTCGAAATAATACTAACTAATATTACACAGTATATTTAATTATTCACATAATATATAGCATTGCAACTGTAAGCATTGCAATGGTGGGATGAGAGAATACACCATATAGGTCCACTGTGTAAACACTTTAACTCAACTATTTTGGACTCCTCACGCAAGAGGGTGCTACATTAAACCAAAATTATGGAACATTAATGTTACATTCTAAAATTAGATGGTTTAGAAAGGGAAATTTTTAGACCTACAGCGATTTTTAGAGCTTCTTCCAAAGATAAAACAATTCTGAAAATCCAGAAATGAAACTTATGAAGAACTAAATAATCATAGCTGGTTATCTTATTTAGCCTTTCTTATAGACATAACAACCAAAACAAACTAAATCTTAAACTTCGGGGGGGGGGAGTTATTGAGTTAAATTAAACTTAAATGTTGAATGTAATTTTTAACTAAAAAGGAACATAATTTTTGCCACTTTACGAATTTCAAAAGCTACATCAAGATATATATATATATATATATATGAAAATTAAAATAATTAAATATTTTGAAAATCTTGACAAGCTCAAAAATAATTTCAAAATTAGATTTTCATAAAATTCAGCTCACTGCTACATTCATTTCAAATCCACTTGTTGATACTAACATTTCTGAAATATCACAATAGTATGTTATATGAAAATTCTACTGACCTAGAAATGGAAGTAACAAATTTTCAGTCTGCTCTACAATTGAAAACAAGAATATAACAAACAGACTTTCTCATTTACAGAGGATATCTGTAAATGAGAAATTTTATTCATTCTTAAAAGAAACTTTTCAAAGCTAAACACCTGCTTTGGACCAGCTTACCACTGAGAACGTCGTTTTTCGATAAAAAACTCTTTAAATCAAAGTTCAGATCTAGGATAACAAATGAACATCCAAATGACTGCATGAATTTAGACATAACACTGTACAGTACAAAGTCCGAAATCCAGATGTCCATTATCCGGAATAATCTAAAATCTGGATCTCAAAACCACCAACAACGTTTTTTTCGCAGGCTTTACACATGTGCATTTGATTCCTCCTCGACACATAATAAAACATCTGAAGAGTCCCGATTCTTAATTTCACTTCGACACTAAATAAAATACCTTGTTATTGAAGAAACAATCATTTTAACATAAATTTTTATGATCAGTAATTTGGCTTCGTTGCTGCATATTTGTTTTGGCACACATCTCAAACCGAAACATTCCACACAGATGCATCATTGATCTGAGTGACGGCAACCGGGCGAATCATTATTTATTATACTTTCCTTTTATCACTGCATGTTTATATCAAAACATGACAACTTGAGTAATGACTCATGTAGCAATGCATAAACACTTTTTTTATGTTAGTAATTGAATAATAAAGGAGTATGGTAACCTTTTATGTTGACATTTATGCTTGGCGATGATTACAGATTTAAGTTCAATGCGTTAAAAATGATGACGAGGAAAGATTTACCAAAAATTTCTTTCCATATTCTAAAAATAGATTTTGTTGATAATACTCATAGACCCAAAGATTACATTTAGGGCTATTTGAATTAAGAATAACTGATTCACATAAACCCATAACCAGAGCCAAGGCTCATATGGCCGTACTGGGTCGCAGAATTTAGGACCCACATTGACTGCATAAGGTTAGAAGATATCTAACAAGGGCCTTCAATAAGTATATGTGGAAATTTATTTATTCAGAACTCTGATAAGCCTTAAGCATGTGCAAGAAATAGACATAAGTATAATAAATAACTAATAAAATTCAGGCTTAATTGTCTCAATGTGCGATAGAAGCAAGATAAAATTTAACAGAATAACTTGCCGTTAGTCACCAAGCTCATGATGCATAGCCAAACATGTAGTGAAGGATACCTAAATTTGATGATGGTAGCCACTAATTTTAAAGGTTTTTCAGATATAGCAAAACAAAGGTGAAATTTTCCAATTAACGGATCTTGTAAAGAAATATGGAGAAGAGGTAATAAATGAAGATGCTATAAAAGAAGTTTTCATTGTGATGACAATGCTTCTCAATCATCAATCAATTAATGAATGGCAAAATCTGTAGTATGGTTCTAGATCCAGAAAATATCGCTTCCGATTGACAGAGAGGTTATCGAAAACGAAAAAATTTTGATAGTGAAGAAAGTGACAGAGAATTTACTGAAAATGAGAAAATTTTGATTTTCAAATTAGTCGGAATTCTTGAAACAGCAGTTACAGGACTTCAGCAAAGTAACTAAACAAGAGACTATATCTGTCTACAGAATTAAAGAGAAAGTATTAGCACAAAAAATGAAGCAACTTAAACAACTTGCATTGAAAGAAATGTTTAACCACTTGCGCTAAAAAGACGCGAGATGCTTTTGTCTCAAACCGCGAGCGATGTGAACACCACAACGATAGCCATTTATCGTAAAAATGAAAATAACGTAGTGCACACGTCGTCTAACAACGAGATTGTTTATTTCTCGAGTTACAGCTCTGGATTGCACTCGCAGACGCGGAGCAGCGTAAATGAGATACTTTATCGCTTGTTATATTGTAGCGCATGGCACCGCAACCATGAAGTTTAGTCGTAGCACAAATGGTTAATAAGGTAAACAAATAAATATTAAGCTCTTTTTTTTAATTTTAATACCTTTTAGATCCTAAATACTTCATTATTTCATAAATGGTGATTTCAAATTTTTAATTTTATAATTTCTACATACCATCTTACTAGATTTAAACTAAGGATCTAATATTCAAAAAAATCTGGAATCGCTGAAGTCCCAACGAGTCTCGATTTCGGACTTTGTATTGTACTTACTTTAAGTACAATAAACTCTCAGAAGACATGCTGTATCAGGTTCCACATTAAAATATGCTTTTCCTGTATTTAATTTTCATTTTATTGAATTTTCAATAAAAAGTAATATGAAGAATAGATAATTAAATGTTTTCTCAACTTATTATATTATATCACACATTTTTAAAGTTTGTGTAATTTATGCTTTTATAATTGAAATATTTAAAGTGCAATATATAGAATTGTGGTTCGGCAAAATTTTTTTAATTCTAAATTGGCTATTAGATTTTAATTCTAAATTGGTCATATTAAAAGTTGGGCTAGAGTGTTTTAGAATGCCACCCCCCCTCTTAGATATGACATGAATAGGAGGCTGTTAGGAGGATTGAGTTGAGTCTGCAGACTGAAGTATTGTTGAGTTTAAATACTTAAAGATTTTTAACATTCTGCTTTGCAAAAATTAAGTAATTTTGAAGTGTGTTTACAGTTTTAGAGTATGAATTCTGATTGCAGCAAATCCTGAAATTTCATAGATTGAATCTAAGATACTCATTTTTGTCTTAAGGATAAAAGAAGTGTTACATCTCATTCTTCTTTAAAGTACCTAAAAACTTCATTTGCAAAAACTGCCTTCCCTTCAAAGTGTGATAAAGATTTGCATTTTCTTCATCTGGACAGATTATCTAGGAGATCTTAAAGAATCACAAAATTATATGCTGTAAGATGAGATCGAGAACAGCATCTCTAATGGTAAAACTCAAACTCAAACTTACCTGAAAAATTGCACTATTACCTGAAAAATTGTAACAGATTGAATAATAATTTATAAGATTTACAAAAAATGATTAGCACAAATTAAAGCCTGCAAATGCTCAAATTTCGAAACTCGTATTCATTGAAAAAATACTGTTTTTATGTGACTTTCATTACAGGAAGGTTAGATGATTGAAAATCACATATTTAATTTTTATAACTTTTATTTTACTTTCAGGTGTTATGTCATGCTAAAGCCATCATATCTGTATAGGATAGTGAAAAAAATCAAATTCTGAAAATCTAATCTTTACAGTCTTCTTTTTGTATTTCTCTTTTCTGCAAAGAATTGTTTCTTACTAAGATGATAATACTGCACAACATTCCAATCTATACTTTGTTTTCTATCTTAATTTATGAGGTAATAGCTCTACCTCCAAAAATTTGATGCTAAAAGTACTATCATCAGGCTCATTTAGCAGTGCATAGTCACTGTATGGCAAGACTGTATTCCCTCAAAAGTGTTTATATGATTAAGAGCTTATGAAACCCGAGCAATTCTCGAGAAAATTAAATAAGAAAGAATGGTTAGCATGTTTACTGAAATATGAAAATCTTAAAGATATCAAAATATAAGCTCAAAACTATTAAAATATAAAACTGGAAAATTTTTCCTTTAATATTGATTCCAGCCCCATTCCCCCCAAAAAGATAATAATATTAACGTATTTTAACAATAAATTATATAATATTAATATATTTTAAAAATAAAGTTTCTAAGAAGCAAAAATTGTAAAATTATTTTTAAATATGCTTTTTGCATTGAAATATATCTCTTTTAACTCCAATTAACAGCAAATAAAAACTAACTGATGAGTTCAAACTTTAGTATCTACTGAAACAGATATTTTAGATGAAAGATGAATAAAACAAAAACATTTTTAAGACAGTATTTACAATTTAATGAAAAATAATTATTTATTTTAATTAAAATACCTATACATCATATGCAACAGAATAATTACATTTCAAGGCAATATTCGGGTTGCTTTTCTTCTTCAGGCAATATCTGATATGTACAACTTTGATACTTTAGAGAATGTACTGCAAGTAAAATAAATAAATAAATAAAAATCCATTAACACCATAACCATTATTATATTAACTGAAAAGAGACACCTACAAAATTTGAAATAAAGTTCATGAGTAATATGTGAATGGAAGTTACTTGATTTCCAAATAAATTATATGCAATTTTAATAAATAATAAACAAGTTTGCTTGATTTAATAATTTCATTCAAAAAATAATTTAATAATTTCATTCAAATTCTGTATAATTTTAGTGAACCTTAAATGGAATGTGCTTGCAAATGCCGAGAGTGCACTTTCAGATGTTAATAAGAAAACTGAATTTGAGCATATTTATATAAAGATCTTAGATTTGCTAGAAGCACTAATAATCTGATAGGTAAAGTATTGCAAAATTCAGAAAAAAAAAATCATCCAGCTTAAAATTTTTATAATTTTAAAAATTAACATCATAGAAGGGCAAGTAACATATGAATGCAAAGGAAAAACACATAAGTTTTATTTACATATATTTCATATGACTTTCTTACTTATATCACAGTGATATGGAAATTCTGAATTCGGAAAAAATTTGAAAAGTCATGGTGATATGGAAATTCCTGCTGAACATGCTCCAATGTGTCAATGGCGAACCCTTCTAAAGCAATAGAAATGTGTTTTTAGTTCATAATGCAGTATGAGCTATGGTGGTTCAAATACCTGATTTTTTACATACCCCACAGAAAGAAGTCATAGGAGGCAAAATCTAGAGATCTAGAAAGCTAGGCTATATAAAACCAAAACAGTTGGTTGGCTGCATTTGACCAATAGCTTGTAAATGACTCAGGTGATCCATTCACCTTGATGCAACCACTGCCTGATCCTGGGTGTAACAAAGTGGATATATGAAAGCAATTATTATGGCTAGCATGAAGATCTTGTAAATGGCAAAATGCAAAAAGTTTTCTATTGTTCAAAACCATTTTTACTTTTTCTCAAAAACAGCTTTTTAAATAACAAACTAGCACCCCCTATTTTTTACACTTAAATTCAAATATTTTTCTTTCATATTAATATACTATTTATCATTTTGTTAATTTTTTAATTATAAAAAACTGAAAGCATATGATTCTCTCTGAATTAGCCTGTATAACAAACACTCCAAATGAAAAGTCTAGCATTAGTACCATATTTCATTAGCATCAATAATTTTTTAAAATTATTTTAAAGATAATTCATGAAAAACTCTTTTATTTTCATCTTCATTACTACATTTGCTAGAGTTATTTCACAATAAACTCTTAAAATGTTGAAGAAAATAGTAAATTGTACTACATTTTGAGCATTTTAAGGATAAATATCATGAATGAGATTTATTTCCATATAACATTTTCTTATTTAACATAATTCTAACATATTATTACACTTATCCCTCAATTTACACAGTACTCGTTTTACACAGTTAAAAAATTTTTTACAATATGACACAAATGCTGAACAAGCTCTCCAATTCCAATGAAAACTTAGTAAATGCTTAAATTAATATGAGAAGGTTTACAAAGATTTGGGAGGGGGAAACCTAGGCAATTGCTAATTACGGATTTCATTACAAAGTCTTGTCAATCTGAAATATTCCCTAATTCGTAAACCATTGAAGCAGAATCTTATTAAGAATGCTCAAGTGATGAAAGTGACATCATACCAGTCAAGAGGAAAAGACTAATAGTTCACGAAAGTGATGACAGTGATTAAACTTATAATAATTTTTTTGAATGATATTATATCTTCCTAATGTAAAATAAATCAAATATGTACTTCTATTACCTACATATATTTGTTATTTTATGAACTTTATTTATTTTAAGATGTCTTACTTTTGTTTTATGTAAATAAATAACTAAATTATGCTCATTTAGTGTGCTTTTCCTTTTACACAGCAAAATCCAAGATTTTGATTTACAAGGTTTTATGCGGAACCTATCTTCTGTGTAAATCGTGGGACAGGTGTACTATATAAATTGCATCATTATAATAATAGTATAGCTAAATAGGTTTTAAAACTGCAAAAATATTGATAAACTGCAAGACCTTTTAGCACAGAGTAGAAAATAAATTCCAAACAATAAAATGGATGGATTTAGATAAGTTGCTATAAGTGGCATGATTTTGGATATCTTCATAAAACAACTTGTTACAAACAGTTTGTTACAAAAATTCATGCATAAACTCATAAGACTTAAAAAAAATTAAATTCCTAAAGGCAGACTGTAATATGAAATTTCAATCAGCTTTCTACTGCTTAAATTTTTCTGTCTTAATTATCCCAGAACTGCAGCTAACATCATTTCATTTCTCCCATTGAAAAAAATTTTCAGCCAGCAGTTTACTGCATGAATTCTTTTTTTTATTACATTAGCTACATTTTGTCCTATTTTTAAAATTTACATGTCCTATTTTTAAAAATTATAGAAGTTTCTGAATGCACAATTTCTACAGATTTTGAAACATTACCTAGTATATTACTATCTTTGCAAAATTATTTTCAGTCAGATTAAATATATATATATACACATAAGAAATAAAAGAAATAATATCCACTTACTTAGCATCTTTTGAGACTTTATAAAAATAATCAACAATATTTGATCTTCCTAGGCGCTCAATGAAATCTTCATCATGAGTAATAATAATAAGTTGGAAATTTTGCTGCTGAGAACGTGACTGTACAATTCTAAAAGCAAATACGATAATTAAAGATTGAAATTCACAATAGATTGGAACTAATTTTTCTTTAAATTTTATAAATGAAAATTACTAATATGAACTGTTATGTATCGATAATGCTTATCCATTTATTATAAAGAACTGCCATGTGTGAATAAAACAATCATGAAAAATTAACATTCTTATAAATAATGCAGACTATTATATAATGCTCTTTAAACAATTTTTCCTTTTAATTAGTTACATTTTTGTCTTTTTTTTTTTTTTTTTTTCTTTTCCTTAAGGCACATTTTTAACATTTATCTCTAACTGTTTTTTCCTTGTGTTGTTATATAATTCGACTCATTTTGATATAATATAATTCAGAAATGGCTATTTAAAACTGGAGAACAGTGAAAAAAATGATTTAAAAGCCCTTTTAATCTTTTTTATTTTTATTATTTAATGAAAAGTTATTATACTCACGAGCAACAACTAAGTTAAAAGATCATATCAAATGATAAATGTAAAAACTGAACAGCTTTAAATTATAAGGTATTTTCTCCTTTTATTCCGCATGCCTTCAGAATGTAATTGGAAGCACACTCAGTGCATATTTGGGAGATCCAGGGTTCAAGTCTCGGTAAGGCCATTGAACATTTTTCACTTCTACATTCAAAAAAAAAAAAAAAAAAAAAAAAAAGACAATAACTCATCATCACCAAGATCTGGCAATTGGGTCCTCTAATCTCCAGGCACCTTTTAAATGGGGAAGTATATAAGATATTTTCTCCCATCTTTCCCTGTGTCTTCATGGTGTAATTGGAAGCATATTCAATGTGTATTCAAGAGGTCCAGAGTTTAAGTCCTGGCAAGTGCATTGCTCATTCTTCACATCTCCTCCTTCAAAATAGCCTAATAACTCTACAAATTTAATATCAAAGAAATGAAACCCAATTTTATTTCTAATACATACACATTTAAATCCATTTATATTTTTGCAACAATTTCTATTATGGTTTTACTTTTAAATATTTTAAGAATTAATTATTACTCAATAATGAACATGCAATCATAACTAATTAACATATTTATAGCTATCAAAAAAAAAACTTTTTTGTTTTTGTTTTTAAATCCTACACCAGACCTAGTCATGACTGCCATTAGTTTGTGACATACAGCCCAATAGAATTTAGAAACATTAAAAGAAATACAATAATTTTTGACAGTATTAGCTGATACAATGTCCTTAAGTCCAAAACAAGTGTCCATACGGTCACAGCACATGTCATCAGCATCACATAATGGGCAAGATGGAGTCTGTTAATCCAAATCAGTGTAGGTATTTCATGAGGTAGTTATGTCCAGTTTTTAATCTTAAGTTAGCAACACTGACAGGTCTAAGTTGGTCATAAGAATGGGATTCTCCATCAGGGAGCACCCAATCTTTCCCTTCACAGTTCCTATTCTTCTGCTGAAGTTGAGTCCACATCTGGCTCTAATGATTCTCTTAGCACTGTGATAGAAAACAGGAGGATTGGATTGAGGAAGGATAGATCTAGCCTTGGCCAGAGTGTCAGCAAATTCATTACCTGTGATTCCACAATGACTTGGGATTCACTGCAGAGTAACACTGCGACCATTATTTATTACGGAATTTATCACAAGCTGACGATTTAGAACAGACTCATTGTTTGAAAGTATGACTGAAGAAATTGTTTTAATAGTGACCTGTGAATCAATAAATATCAAAATGCTCTGATCATTTCTTTAACTGATTTTAATCAAGGCTAGTTGGATAGCAGCCACTTCAGCATCATAGTTAATACAATTTGCAACAACATCCCTGCTAACCTAAAATGCCGAGAATAAAATCCTTCAGCAGCATTGCTATTAGCACCTATAGCAAAACCATTGGTGTACACATGCAGCCAGTGCATTGTTGGAAATCTTTTTCTAATAGTGGCCAAATCAGCCATCCTCAATTCTGTCTCAGTGTAGGATTTTTCACTGGCAACAAGAACCAAGTCTAAATTATAATTTGAGAAGTTCAAATGCCTTAGAAACATACCAGTCTCAAGAAGTGTCTGTCTTTTAAAAGAAGGGATATAAAAATATCAGACAATTCATTTGTCACATGTAAAAAGGTAGGTTGGGATTTTATCCTACACTCTGCAGGATTGTACATCTCCCAGAAATCACCAACCTCACAAATCTCTCAACCAACTTGAGAGCACTTATTTTCCTTCGATGAGTCAGAGCCTCAGTATTTGTTTGCAGTTGCATGGCCAGGATAGGAGAAGATATGCTCCAACAATGATGATTCTCAGGGCATTATTTTGAATAGTTTCAACACTGTTCCATATAGACTCATAAACAGTTATGAGAACTTCACCACCATATTTGATAGCAGGCCTAATATAAGATTTATAAATGGCACAGAGTAGATTTTGGTAGTATCCCACTTCATAGCGGTAAACATTTTGAGCAGATTATTTCTCATGTTGCCTATACCCAACATCCTGTTTATTCCAAATTAGAATTTCCTGGAATTCGAAACAATTCCCAAGGTAAGTAGCCTTTTAAATCCTGTGGAGCTATTGATCTCCACAAAATAGCTCTATCTCTTTAGGTTTGGTACTAAGGATAAAAAACTGAAAGGTGGTCTTACTCGTATTTACAATCATTTCATTGTTTTTGACCAAGTCAAAAGGGCATCAAGGGCAATATGAAGCAAATCCTTTCAAAAATATATTTAAAATATTATATACTTCAGAAAATGCTTGGATATGGTTTTCAACATTTACTATTTCTATTCCCCAGCACTGCACTACATTTGTAGTATGTCGTCTTTCTCAATTTTTCTAAAAATTAATCATTCCAAACTGTTTGTAAAAAACTTTAAATTTTCAGATAAGAGAAATAGAAAAACAAAATATGACATATAAACATATATATTTGTCTATATACATGACATATATATTTGTCTATAAACAAAATATGACATAAAAAAGGACTATAGGTTTTTTACACAATGCTAAAGAAGTTTCTTGCTGGTTTCCAGCACATAGTAGGGATTCTTGGATTCTTACACTTAAGTACTGAACAGGAATTAAAGGCATCGAAGTACTTTGCTTACAACTGCTATTGCTTAAATAGTTAAATTTCACATTATTTTCAGCATCAAAACAAGTAGAAAAGGCAATTTTTTTGTTGTTTTTAATTTTTCTATTTTACAGAGTTAAATATAAATTTAAAACTGCTTAACAAATATTTACTGCTTATATATTTATTACTATATAAATAAAGAGATGTTTTTAGTGATTTCACTACACTTGCACAATAATTTAACTCTTTCGGACCTTATGGGTCACATTTTAACTATGTTGTGAGCTTTTTGTTAAGGTTTCAGCCTACCAGTCTGGAATCAAATATCTTTCTGAGACCATAAAAATTCCCCATCCTCCATTTAGGAATCTCTGCTCTATATCTAACAGAATCAGAAATCATAAAAAATCATCAAGGGAATCATAGGGATAGAAAAAGTACATTTCTAAAACTTAAAACTAAACTACTCACTCGACTAATGCACGAGCAAGTTTGGAGATATTCTCCCGGTCAAGATTAGTAGTTGGTTCATCCAAGGCTATTATTCCACAGTTCAGACAAAATGTTTCAGCCAGTGCCAAACGTATTATTAGCGATGCTAAAACCTGAAATTAAATAAACTTTTCTTCATTATTACATATAAGTCAAACACAGACATACAAGATATCTTGAAAGCGGCCAGTTACTTTGGTGACATTAGATGTGGTATTAAAAAGTGAAGTCACATACTTCAGATCCAGATCAGTACAGTAAAAAATAATAATAATAATAATAAATAAGTTGACTTACTTTGAATTTTAATTAATTTTTTTAATAATAGACTACTACAAAGAGCAGCTGATGATCCAGTTCATTATCACTCTTCCCTCCCCCCTTGTGGTTTCATCAAGTCCAATGTAAGAATGGGATGATTCTTAAATTTTTAAGAATCCAAATCTAGACTAAGTCCATGAGAAATATTTAAATTTTTTAGGCGTGTGGAGGGGAAGAAGTGAACTTCAGTTAGCTTTTGCAAACAAAGTGCTAAAAAGCAAATTTATTATAATTCTATGTAAAGAACTGCAATAAATTCAGGCAATGCAAATAAACACATTTGACTAAAAATGTTATAACAAATTCACAGTACTGCCTGAAAGAAACTGAAATATGTTCAGTTAAAAAATAGCATTTTCTAAATATACTACATCTTTGTACTTTAATTCTTCAATGATTATATCTGGCATCCACTACATGCTTAACACTAGCTAGCACTGCTTAAATCCAGCATTCATCATATCTGGATTAAAAAGCAACTAGTACGTTGTTTATATACAATTTGAAAATCTGTGTTTAATCATATATAAACACACACAATGGAGAGAAAGGTAGGTAAAAATATACCGATGAGAATTTGAAGAAACTGATGATGTTAAAGATCAAAGTACCAACCCATTGAATTCATGGCATAGTGATGGCTAGTTTCATCAATGCCAAAGAGTTAATATTTATTTATATTATAAGTGTTCAGATTGATTTGAAATAATTCACATTGTCAATTTAAGCCAGGGTTTCACAACCCTATGGCGCAGGCACCATGGTGCCCACCGCTCGTGTAATGTGTGCCCGCCACTGTATGATCATAATAAAAATGTTTTAGTTCTCAATATAATACTGTGTGAAAATTTTCTCCGTTTTAATGAAATAGAAATGCTGTTTAACACAGATACCAGCACAAAGTGAAATGCAACCGATCTCTCTCTCTCTCTTTTTTTTAATGCGCATGTAATCTATCCAACTATAAATTCACCTTGAAAAAGTAAATGGTGCCCACAGTCCAACAGATATTTTAGAATGTGCACTTAGAGACAAAAAGGTTGGGGACCTCCTGTTCTAAGCAATATATATAAAATTATATAAGAATTATATTCTATATAAAATTTTTAAATGAATGGAAAATCCTATGTCTTATTAGTTGTTAAAAACTGCCTATTTTGAACGTAATTTTCTATCCATAGTGAAAACAATACTGCTTACTATCAAGCACTTTAAAAAATTGTTAAATTCACAGACAGACATACATGGCAAATAAAATCTGAAGTAACTAATAAAACAGTAACATTAACACAATCTTGAGGCTATTGGATTTTCAATTAAACTGATTTAAGTGCCCACCTTTTGACCAGCACTGCATCGACCCCTCATATCAGTAGCTGTGTCTCCCTTGAACATAACTACTCTATAATTGTATTGTCTTCGAGCTTTCTCTAAACCACATTCTCCATCTTCATTAGATTGTATCTCAATGTAATCAATATCTAAAGTAAAAAAATACAAAAGAATTTTATTAAAGAAAAACTTTTCAAATTTAAGAAAACTATTTCTACTGTTTCACAAATGAACTGCCATTGCATTTAATTGTATGACATATTTAAAATTCATTAATACTAAAAAAATATAAATTAAAGCCTTAATTACTTCAAATGAAAAATAAAATATCTATCTCTGCAAATAGCATGCCAGCTGTTTTAAATGATACTACTTTTTATGTGCACTGCGTGGGAAAAATAAGGGAAGGACAGTTTTCTATATCTCTCATTCTACTGGGCCGATTGATGAAATTCAACTTACATCCTTCATGTCTCGAAAGCGCGACTTGGGATATGTATTATATTTATATACAGCATTGTTCTAATATAGGTATTTTGACACAAAATCGGACTTTTTCTGAAATAACAAACCAATTTTTTTTCCATATTTCGATTCTACGACTCCAATTATGCCAAACTACCCCGTTTTGTAAAAATCATAAGAGTAGTTTTTAAAAAATTAGCTCTCAAAATTTTAGCTCCTCAATGTTAATTCAGTTTGGTATATATTTATTAATCTCTTTTTTTTTTATTATTAAGAAGCAACATGTACTGGGTAAGGAGAAAGATGTAAAACTTATTTGATGCTTCCTTTCACATTTCAAAATTTAGGTTCATTCCAAATAAAATTCACCCATTTTTATGATTTTTTTTAAATTTTGTATTTTTAAATACTTTTTATAAATTTTTCAAAAAATTTTTGAATTATAATCTATCAAATTTTGACCATTATCTTAAAGTTTCTAAGTATACATACACAAATTTTTTTTATTCAAAATTTCCAAAAATATACGTTAATTTATATATTGGCGCATTTTAAAATTTGGCATATTTATTGAAAGTGATAAGTTCGCCAAGTGATTTATTCTTGGCGGAAACTGAAATAATTGTGCCAAGATAAATTTTTTAATTTCTCCGTAAATTTCGCACCAAAGTTTAGAAAATTTAATATCTAGGCATAATTTGAGTTGTAGAATCAAAATACGGAAAAAATTGGTATGTTACTTCAGTAAAAGTCCGATTCTGCATCAAAATACCTATGTTAAAACAATGCTATATATAAATCTAATATATATCCTAAGTCGCACTTTCAAGACATGAAAAACGCAATTTGAATTTTGTCAATCGGCCCAGTAGAATGGGAGATATAGAACTGTGCCCCCTCTTTTTTTCCATCTTTGTTTCCATCGTTTTTTTACCAACTTTGTCTTACTTTTGCTAGAATGACTGGCATAATTTTGGCAATATCTTTACGAACTTTCATGCTTGATAAAATTTCACAATCAAATTAAGATGTTTCACTTTCATGTTTATGTCTATGCAATATGTCAGTTTTTATGTCTAAGAGAAGGTGGTTTTTTTTTTCCTTTTTAAAATTAAAAAAAAAAAATTTAATAAAAATTTAATTAAAAAATTTAAAAAATTTAATTAAAAATTAAAAAAAATTAATTTTTAATTAAATTTTAATTAAAAAATTTTAAATATAGGCTTTTGATATTCCTGTTGATAAGAAATAACACAAATGTTCTTATAATCCCGAACCAGAAATTTCTGCCTTTCATTTAGCTTTACTCCATTGAATTATATTTTTATACATTCAGCTATCAAGAATTTTAATGAATTTGGTTGTTTATATTTTGTGGTATCATTATGGCATGCAAAGTCTATTTTTCGTACTTTTTTAACCTATCGATCATAATTAAAAAAACAATATTGAAAATCATGCAGGTTTTCTAAAATTATAGCACATGCACGATTTCATATTTCAGAAAAACAAAAACAATTATTTAAAATTATCATATTATCACATAAAAGTTACAAATTTCTTAGTCTGCTGGCATATCACTTCAAATATCTGCCTGCTTGCAAGATTGCCTCCAGAGTTTTAAAAGTCTGTTGTGTACATAAGAAAGCTTCACAGCATCATGTAGTAACATACATGGACATTTCTCAGCAATCCTTTTTCAGCTTATTTCCATCATCATCTTTCTCCTTACCCAGTACATGTTGGATTATACTGTTATCAATCTAAAAACAGTTTGGCAAGAGCAGAATGGTCTAACTCTGCTTCAACTTCTCTTCAGGCTAGAGTAATATGTAAAGTAAATATGGCATCTTTCAATGTAATTTATTTCTGAAAATCATGGGCACCAGCTTCAAAAGTTTACACATTAATGCGCACAAAGGGATTGGTATTCCGTCTTCATATTCTAGACAATTCCTTAGTTCACTGCTATACAAGGCTTGTTATGTTAGGCTGCAAAAATGTAACACAAAGGTTTTCCACATTATAGATTTTCTGTTTATTATTCCATTACATAACTTTTTTTTATCTTGTAGACTTAAATTTCAAATTTAAATTTAGATCTTTAAAAGTGCTGTTATTTTAATACTGCCAGTTAATTGGGTAATGATGCAAAATTTTACTGTAGTATGATCTCACACTGAAAAGTTTTGTTAACTTATATTCAATAAAATCCAGCTAAAGATAATAAAGTCATGTAAAACAGGAATTTAAAAAACAAAGCTTCAAGTAAAGCTACTATTCTGTCAAATATGTATGTATGCATGTGCGTGCATATGCACGATAAGTTCCACAACAGAAACAAAAATTATCAAGGAAGGAAAGCTTACAATGATAAACAACAGTCATTATTGAAAAAAGGTGCATGTTGTTCTTGTCTAAACAAAGCAGTCATTTAAGTAACTTTTGTAAAGTTAAAAATAAGTTGAACTATTCTCAACATAAAATCTTCATTTTTATGTATTTATTTAAAACACACACACACACACAAAAAAAAAAAAAAAAAAAAAGTACGTTTCTTGTAAATCTCAGAATTCCCTCTCTTATTGATAGAGAAGCAAAAAAATTTATTCGTACACTCTTTACATTATAATTTGAGCCCAAGGCCAGGAGAAAGTCTGACACAGAGTGACATATACAAGTTGCATAAGTGATGCAATGTCATTGCACATGCAGGGATCTAGACGCTATACGAATTGTAGAATTCATATTAGCTATGTCAGTGATAGTTTTGCTATTGTGTCTGTCATTTGTGAAATAAAACGTACTTCTTTTACATTAGTATTTGTCATTGTGAACTCCAAATCACCCTGCAGCATGCAGAAGTGGAGCAGGAAGTAACTGTTTGATTTTGTGTGCAACAAATAAATAAAATCAAATATGAGTTGCATAAATTAATGTTACATTGCTTTATAATATGAAAAATAAATAAATACAAAATCAAAATCAAATACACACCATTCCCTGCATAAGTTCTAAGCCACAGATCTTTAATAATTTTGTTAATTTCGCACATTTTCATCTGGTGGTAATTTATAATAGCTTTGTTCAATGCAACATAATACTTGCTTAAATCCTCACATACTAGCTGAGTTGTCTACAGGATAAAATAAAAAAAAAAATTAACATACATTCACACATTTCAAATATGCACCTTATATTTAGAATCTGCATGCAGAAAATAAAATTTTAAGTAAAAATAAAAAGACATAATTTATTGTTGTCAAAAACTAAGATGAATGTTCCATATATAGCTAAAAGATACATGCAGCATGTTAGACAGAAAAAAACAATCTGCTTCTGAGGAACAGGGATCTGTGTCTGATCACTCTTGAAGCTGGTGAAGTTTTATTCAAAGCGTACACCAAAATAAGGTTGACTTTTTTTTTTTTTTTTTTCCTAATTTAAAATTTTACATTGATATATTTCTCTTCCACTTGATTTTTTATGAATCTTTGAGCAATTTATGGAATTAATGTAGTATTGTAATAGAAGGATGAATAAAATAAGTGCTGAAGTCAAATTACCTGATGTAGAATAATTACGCATGTATATACGTAGGTTGGGGCAAAAGTCATGGCAACTATTTATTTTCTTGATGATACCAATCCGGTTAGAAAATGAGACATATACAGACGAAAGGACAAGTTCTTAACTACATTTGTGGACAATGAATAGAACTGAAATATCGTAACACACGAATTTATTATGGTAGTATACAGGGCAATATAGCCTTCACCGTGCAAAAGAATGATAACACAATACACGTAAAGTTGGCATGACAAACCTGGGCCTAAAGACCTTCAATGTAGTCCCCTGCTACTGTCACCACACGCTGCCAATGATGTAGGAGACGCTGAATACCATCAGCCTCAGCATTTGCCGCACCATGTGTGAATCGGGTTATCTGTTGGCGCGTAGCATTAGCAATGTCCTCTCGTGTTGCAAAATCTTGGGAGTGAGATCAAAGTCCCAGGGAAAAAGAACAGGAGAGTACGGTGGGTACTCCAATTCTTCTCATTCCCAACGTCGGAGTAGCTGCCGTACACACTCTGCTTTATGTGGTCTTGCATTGACATGCAGAATTATTGCACTGCCCACAAGATCCGGACATATATCCCGAACACCACACCATACCTGTCGCACCAGGAAGTCCCTGTAGTACTGTACGGTCACTGTTCTGCCATGAGGAACAAAGTGGCAAACAAAGACTCCCCTGACGTCATACTCGACGATAACCATCAATTTGACCGGGGAAGGATTCTGGCGCTAGCTCATTATGCAATATCCTGTGAATGGTGTGTTTCTCGATGCCACTTGCCCTCTCTAACTCCAGTAATGTCCATCGTCTGTCTTCATCCACGAGGTGCTCGATGACGGCACGTGCCAAGTTGGACCGCACACGCACACACGCCAAGTCGGACCGTAAAACCGTGCCAAGTCACTGGTCATCCTGAATGTTGCTCATCACTGGTTGACACACGTCCTTGATTTGCCGATCCACTTTCCTATCCACGTGCTATACATAGGACATTATTTCCAAGGGCTTTTACTAATTCACTGTGACATTCTATAACATTTCTCCCTCGGAGGACAGCTATTTTGATGTAAGCGCGCTGCTCAACACAGGTTACTTCCATCTCGCACAGTTACTCACCAACTGATAGATTTCAGAGCCATCTCGCTACGTTCACAGCCATTGTTTGAAAATACAATTAGTTGCCATGACTTCCACATGAAACCAAACCTCGTTTCACATATTGACAAAATTAAAGGATAATGCCATACTTGCCCCAAAATATGGCGGATACAAAATTAAATTAAATCATCAAAATTTAAGGTAACAACGGTCACCTCAGACAGATACGCATTAAATCACAATATTTCTGATCAAATCTTGTGATATTGCACATCACTCTTCTAAAAGTGCAATGTTGCTCCTGGAAGGTCCAGAGAGGAATTTGGCATGCTAAAATTTGGAGCAGCCTAAAATTGGAGCATTCCACACATGCTCAATCGGGTTCAAGTTGGCTGAGTAAGGTGGTCAGTCCATTCAAGTAATAACTTAGTATTGGACTGATAATGGTCAATGAGGGAGGCAGTAATAACGTTAGCAAAAACTCTGGACCAGCAGCACCCTTAATTTAACTGTCATTGCCGAGATAATCTCGGGCACAGCACTGGTGTTCGAAAATGTCGGGCACAGTACTCTGGGGGTTTTTTTTTGAGTGCATCGTAGATTTACACGAATTTATATCAGGAGACGTTTATTTCGGCTATCTCTTTGTCAAACCCAACTGAATCTCCGGAAAAGTTAATGTGCGCTCAGTTCAATAGATGACAGCACTTTACTGAAAATTAAAGGTTAGAGGTTATAAATTCTTTGGTTCAAAGTGCATGGGATCTTTTTGTTGTAAAATGGCATCCAGTTCTTTGAAACGTTATATAGATGATTTGATTAGAAGATGAAGGATGTGATGAGTATTCATGATACTTCCATGGTCAGCCAAAAAAAATAAAAAAATGGGGAGATATACTCAAGCCGAAGATTGTTTCTAATTACAGTCTAACTATGGGTGGTGTAGATCGCTGTGATTAGGAATAATATTCATCATCCAACAATCCGAAAACATCAGAAAAAATATTATAAAAAGATATTTTTACATTTACTAGACAAGGTACTCTGGAACTCATATTTGCTCTATAAAAATGTAGTTGAAAAACGTATTACATTTTTAGAATTTCAATCCCCAAGTTGAAGAAGAGCTTTTACATAAATATGATGATGCAGCTTCTGGACACAAAAGAATGCTGGAGACCACCTACAATAGATAACCCTGCCCGTCTTACTGAACGACATTTTATATCCCCATATTCCTCCTACTCCTGCGAAACGTGAGCCTAGACAGTGCAAAGTGTGTTGTTCGAAAAAGATAAAAATGGGGAAAAGATAAGGAAGGAATCCCGATTCTGGCGTAGTGATTGTGGAGTTGGTTTGTGCTTGGAAAAGTGTTTCCAGTTGTACCACACATGACTGAATTACTGAACTACTAATAGGTATTCACTTATATTTATTTATTTTTTAGAAAATAATTAATTGTTTTCATTATTAGAAAATAGTGCTCCACTAGAAGCGAACTTTACAACTGCCATGTTGAGTGGCAGCCGCCTCAAGCAAATACGCAGTGGCTACAAAACTTTAAAAAGTTTACCCATGTACTTCAAAATATCAATTTTTAACTACTTAAGAATGTTTTATTTTGTACTAAATATTTGATTTTTGCAATAAAAAAATTTGACAATTTGTGTACCCAAATCATCAAAATAACTTGACAGTTAAAGGGTTAACAGCTAACCTGGGATTCCAATACCTCATCCACACAGTTACAGAGCGTCCCTGAAAGATATGGAGCTCAGAATGGATTTGTCATGATTCCTCCCCAAACCATTAAACCGTGTTCGCAGAAATGGAATATTCATGGACAAAGGAAGGCAAGTTGCACATTCTTTCCTCTCTTCTGATCAAAACACGTCTAGTGTCACTGTTCAGACTATATCTGGACTCATCAGTAAAAAATACTTGTCAGTAAACAAACAATTTTGAGGCCAGTCATCTTGGCTCCACTGAACATGACGATGGCACCAGTTTAAATGGGCCCTGTGGAAACTGGATAGAGTAGGACACAAAACACTGGTTTTCTTGCACAGTCCAACCTCCTTAAGCCTTCGTACAGCAGTAGAACGGTTAATTCAAGTTCCTGTGGCAGCCTCAAGGTCTAAAAACAAATCTCTTGTAGTTGCTCCTCAGTTTTTTTGAGCTTATAACTACAGAAAATGGTCTTCTGATATAGTCGTTATTCTTGGTCACCTTTTGACCAGGCTGTCAACTGATCAAGTGCTTAAAAAGTGGCTCCAAACTCTTGATATGACACTTAGAGGGATATTCAAATCTTGGGCGACCTCCATTTGTGTTTGACATCCCTTGGTTCTGCCAATTATTCACCACTTTTGACCTTCACTTAAAGGATACTGATCCCTCTCAGAAACCGTAATCAATTTAAGCAACACTGCAAACCGGAATTCCAACATGTGTCCATTGCGCACCCCATTGTTAGTCACCAAATTTGCATATTTCCAGCACTAACAAGAATGTGGAAGTGCAATTTGTTTATTTAACATAAATAATTACAGCATTGGCACTGGTTGCAACATTAGCAAACTGGTTGCAACATTAGTGAACTGGTTGCTTAGTGAACAACTTAGTGAACTTTGCAAACTGGTTGCAACTTAGTGAGCATATTTTTTCTCATTATCCTTTAATGAACAGCATAATAAACATGTTTCACTGATATAGTAGTAACATTAAAGGCATATAACATGAAGTAAGGAAAGGGAATATTTTTCCTACTGTATATTAATACATTATATTTTAAGTACCCTCAACATTTCCAGCTATTTTCCTTCTTAGTAAATTATAGTGTTCGACAGCAATTTATTGGTATTTTGAAGAACAAAACTAAATCAGTTAAATAAATTTTAAACTACATGATAATGTCAGTTATTAGTTTTATAAACAAATAAAAGTTTTGCATGTTTTTACATGCAAAATTTATTATGTATATATAAAGCTAATTTTATTTATGTATGTATAAAGCTTGATAGAAATATGTTTCTAAACTTCAAAAGAGTTAGGAAATAAATAATAAATAAATAATAAAACATCTTCAATAAAACTTAACACTTTCAAAGTGAATTTAGTCCAATATTTAAAGCCAATTTTGATACTAGGTATCCTCCTTTCTTTAACAGAAGTCTGGTAGAAAGTAACTGTGATTTCATCATGTAAAAATTGCAGAAATCAATTCCAATAAAAACAGGAACCACTGCCAAATATAACAATAAATGCGAGCATTTTTCAACAAAACAATTAGTAATTAGTATAAATCTATGCATTAATTCTATAAACAATAATATAGAACCAGAAGCATTTTCTACCCATGCTTTAAAATCTTCAGTATTTCTTTCTGGTTAACCATTGCCCACGCAAGCAATAAAAACAAATATTTTTCATGTTTCCCGCAACACAAATGCAAACATTTAAATCAGTTTTCAGGTGTTAAAGTAGAAACTGAAAAATAAAATTGCACCTTTTTTTTTTTTTTTTTTTGGGTTGTGGTAATTAAATTTATTACAAAGTCACAATGAAACTCTATTTTTAAACAATTTTTAAAACATGATGTCACTATTTTTTGCAATTTCATATTCATGTTATACTTGTTTTTTATTTACTTTGTATTATTCTGAATTTATTTTTACAATGTTTTATTATAAATTAGAATATTTTTCAGTTATATTTCAAACAATTTTTTGTTAATGTATAAATAAATTATATATAATCCTGTACAAATAATGTATAATTAAATGTGTATAAAATAATTACATATATTTATTTATCTGTAAGAAAATACATTTATATATAAATGTACATTATTAATTATACACATTTATTTATTTATTTTTACATTTGCTTATGTATAAATAAATGTGTGTAGTTATTTGGTTTTAGTGCACAAAATTCTACATGAATAATCACTGAAATTTTGCATATAATTCAGTCAGAATTTAGGATATTTGCCATAAGAATTACTGTTTTTAGTATGCTCTACATTCCAAAATAAATCATCACATATTATTAAACAATTTTCAAACAAAAACTTAATTTTCATTTTCAACACTAATCACGAAAATTAAAGAAGATAACATTAAAGTTGTGTGTGTATATTTAAGAATATCGTGTGACTGACATATATCATTTCTGCAATTAATCAAATTCTAATATAGACTGCTTTTTTCAAATTTGAAAGCTTCACAGAAAATTAATTTTACAGTTGAATTTATTGAGGAATCTACAACTTAATTTCTTCCTTTTTTTCCCCCTTAATATTCATTATTTGAAATAAAAGACCTAAAATGATTTTAGGTCTTACATATATTTAACATTTCATTGTTGAATTATTATGAAAAAACACCATGAACTAAGTCAACTGAATGAGAAAAAGACCAACATAAATCTCTAGGAAATCAAGAAAACAGTACTTCTTATGGCAAAACTTTATAAACCAAAAAAAAAAAAAAAAAAAAAGAAAGAGGAGCGAAGAACCTGTCACAAAAGCATTAAAAACATCAGTACATATTATATAAATTTATATAGTTACCCTTAATTCAATGCACTTGTCTTTATGCTTTTTTTCAGCATCTTTGAACATACTATCTTCAAGCTGTTTTTTCCAATCTCTGATTTTTTCTTTCAAAACATTTTCTCGTCCTACAGCTTCATCATGCTCTCGTGTCAATAACTTTACATCTTTTGTTAATTTATCTATATTGCTTCAAAAATTAAATTTTATGTAAGAATAATCAAACAACTCTTTAAATAGAAATTCAATTCACAAAAATTCTTAATTGCATTACTTATTAATTTATTAACACATAATATATGTCACAAACCACAGGTTCAGTTTCATTGGCTTATTTGTTTAAGAATCTTCAAATTAGAGAAAAAGAATGTTCAGAACAGATTGGCATCTTCTGGCAATGCATAATGTTATATGGAGGAAAAACACAACCAATTTCAATTTTAAAATTATGGGGAAACTTAACCTTAGATTGCTGTTAGTGAAGACCATTTTGTTACCTATTATTAAGACAAAAATGAGGAAAAAAATAAGGTAATAAATAGGCAATCACTGCATATCTATTAAAGCCCATTAAAAAAGAGAAAATAGTACATTAATATTTTAGGAAATAAATTTTATTGTAAAATACTAACTTCAATAAAGATCTGATGTCACAATCTCCAACTTTACTTTTTAATGTTTGGCATTTTTCCCTCATTTGGCCAATCTTCTCAATTATTTCTATAAGTTTCATATTATCTTCTAAATCCCGGTATTTCAGCTACAAATAAATGATACACAAAGTAAAATATCAGCTTACAACTCACTAAACTTCCAAACTTTAAAACAAGGACTATTTTAAAACAAAAGCAAAAATAAATCTTATTTTAAAATCCACTGAATTGCATACACATATTAAATCCAATTACTTAAACTGCTTTGAGCTTTTTTGGCTAATTTTTTAAGAACATTCAAGCAATATCTCTATTCTGATTTTGAAATTTCAGGCTTCAGAAAACTTGCCTTTTCATACTAGCATACCTTTGGCTTACTCTAAAAATGTGTTTTTTATTTTTATTTTTATTTATTTATTTTTTCTTTTTTAATTCATATTCTATTTTTTTTTCCTACAACCCTTTTCATTTGTATAGTTTTGAGTAATTATTCCCATAAATTTTTGTTATTTATTGCTAGAAGCTTTTATTCTCTTCTTCCCCCATTACTGTTGGTGGTGTATAACTACACTGGTGTGCAAAAATTAAGGACGAAGTCGAAAAATTAGCATATCAGCTGAACGAAGAGGCAGAGCGGACAGAAAGACAAATCGGGAGATTAAGTAAGGTGATGTAAGGTAGGACATGTGCAGATATGCAGGTAGACGTAATGAGGGAGTGTCTGAGTAGTATAAAGCATGTTGTCGGTGTAAGATCAGTATTTCTGGCAAAGAGATTGCACGCCGTATAGCAGTTAAAATCACACCGAGTTGCTGCCTCAGCGAGAAATGGCGAATAATCAATCTGTTAGACGACATCTGGATGCTTTTACCCGAGGTCGAATCATTGGGAAGTTGGAGGAAGGCCGCAGTGTGACAAGTGCAGCTGCAGAGTTCGGAATTGCTCACAGCATCGTTTCACGACTTTGGAGACAATTTCAAACTACAGGAACAGCTATCCGGGGGTTTAGTAGTGGTCGTCCACGAGGAACCACACCCGCAGATGACCGGTATATTGCCTTACAGGCCAGAAGAAACAGGTGGCAGACAGTGAGAGAAATCGCTAGACACACGACACAGGCGACTGGATGACCGATATCGCGTTTTACCGTGGCCAGAAGACTGCACGGTGGTGGTCTGTTTGCACGACGTCCTGTATGGTGTGTACCTCTAACCTCTAACACCTGCCCATCGGAGAAGGCGTTCTCTGTGGTGCCGGGAACACCGGAATTGGAGAGACAATGAATGGGGACGAGTACTCTTTACAGATGAGAGCAGATTCAGTCTGAGTAGCGATTCTCATCGCATACTCATCTGGAGAGCGGGGAAGCCTCAATCATCCCTCGAACATCATTGAAAGGGACAGGTATGGAGGTGGCGGTGTTCTCGTTTAGGGAGGCATCATGCTTGGTAGTCGTACAAACCTTCACGTCTTCGACGCAGGTTCAGTCAACGGGACCCGTTATTGTAACGAGATTCTTCTTCCATATGTGCGTCTTTTTAGAGGCGCTATGGGTCCGCAGTTCCTTTTCATGGACGACAATGCACCATGTCATCGCACAGTAGCTGCCGAACAGCTCTTAGAGAGTGAGGATATTGAACGTATGGATTGGCTGGCACGATCTCCGGATCTCAATCCCATTGAGCATGTATGGGATTTTTTAGGTAGATGCTTGGCAGCTCGTACCTTACCACCAGTAACGATTCCGGAGCTTCGATTGGCGCTGCAAGACGAATGGGCAGCAATGCCTCAACAACTCATTGACACCCTCATTCTCAGCATGGGCAGACGCTGTGAAACCTGCCTAGCAGTCAGGGGAGATCCTATCCCCTATTAAAGACCGGATGTTTCTTGCTGGACACCCATCACAGGGATGTTTTGGCCTTCAGTCGCATTGCGCTCTGTGCTACTTTTTCAATAAAGCTTCTTTTTATCCATCTGATTTCTCTTTTAGTAAGTGTTGCTTACATTACTCATGTCCTTACGTATTGGGGATCTTACGGTATTAAATGTGTTGATTTGGAAAGCTTTTGTACAAAGTTATATTGAAAAAACCGTCTCGTCCTTAATTTTTGCACACCAGTGTATTTTCAGTTTTCTCATATCACTTTTCATGGATAAAAATAAAATTTCCAAGTATTCATAAAAAAAAAAAAAAAAACTAAAGACTGAATTTTGTCTAGATTTAGAGAGGTTAAATACTTATACCGAACCACGCTTGGATATACTTTCATCTGAGGCAAGAGGTAAATGTGCACTCTTATTCGTTCTATTAAATTAATTATATTTCCTCATTTTTATATTAAAAAAATATAACTATTTTAAATCACAATATCTTAGTTTTTCAATCACAGTTTTAGGTATTCAGGAAAATAATATATGTAATGATAAATGATTTAAAATACTATAAAAGTAAACAGCATATAACATTGAAGTAATGTAAGTAGTACTACTGAAGTTACTATAAAAAGCATTGCATTAATTTTCAAGTTTTTTTTTAAATTTAATTTGCTTGCTTTTAATGAAGCACAATCCTCAATTTACCATTATTCAAATCATGGAGAGTGCACAGACGATTTTTACTTTCCTCCCTCCAGAAAACTTAATGCTTCCATACTTGCTATAGCTCTACCCTAACGCTAAGGTTAACTTAGCAACAGAAACTGCCAATATTAAAAAAATTCTTAATGCAATCAAAATTAAATATAAATGAACTAAACTATTGTTAGCATTTAATTAGTTCCTTTACTAAAAACACATTCCGTCAAACATTAATTGTTAGTTACTTGCTTTATTCAGAAACATTACCGTCAACATTACTGCTAAAAAACTTACAGTTCAAAAATATTATCGTTCTGATTCAGAAACATTACCGTCAACATTACTGCTCAAAAACTTACAGTTCAAAAATATTATCGTTCTGAAAAAAACTGTTGTTGCCAATCGGGAAAATACATTTTTAAAAAAAATTAATACGTTGCGTTTACATTCGGGCATCCTGACTTAGTTACGACCTCGGAACATTAAGAACTTATATTTAAAAAAATTAAATCTGTAATATTAATGTTTATAGTTCGAAAGTCTTTAGTTGTCATATAGATTCACCGTCATTTTCTATTCTTTTTCCGTGTCCTAGTTTTAGTAATATGCGGCATGTTGTTATCGTTATCCTTAGTAACACTAATGTCATCACCATGATCATCGTCTTCTTCTGATTCAGCTTGACACTACCATGACTTTAATTGGCTCACATGAGCTGTCGTACTAAAGAAATGTCCTTTCACCTTCTCTTCTAATTGAGTCACTCTATAGGTATCACTTGGTAAAACTTCTGTAACTACCAAAGGTCCTTGATACTTTTGTTGTGTTTTGGTTGATTCTCCAGTTGATTTAGGTACTCTTCTCATAACTACTATTTCTCCTCGTTCAAATGTTAAAGAATTACTTTTCTTCTTGTCATAATTTGCTTTCATTTTCATCTGCATATCTTTAATTCTCTTTCTAGCTTCATTTTGTAAGATTACTGAATTCTCCCATTCATTTGCGTCTTCATCTGTAATCATCCTCATCAATCCGTCGTTAAATTTTGGTGAATAACCGTGAAGCATTTCGAAAGGAGTTTTATTTGTAGTCTTATTTATCATATTGTTTAAATTTCTTTTGCATTTCTTAATCTTTTTGTCCCAGTCTCTATGATTCGGATTTTCCATACTCGTTTTAATCGTAGCCAAAATTCTTCGATTTGCTCTTTCCACAATTCCATTACCACTTGGATGTTGAGTTGAATTGAGTGTATGACTGATTCCATTATTTTGACAGTACTCTCGAAATTCCTTCGCTGTGAAACATGTTCCTCTATCGCTGATAATTTTTTCTGGTAACCCAAAATCATCTACAAAACTCTTCAATGCAACTAACACATACTTGGTTGCAGTACTTTTCATAGGATATAAGCGTGTAAATCTCGTAAAATTATCAATTATTACAAATAATTCTGTATTTCCTCTTGAACTTTTTACAAATGGTCCTAAATGATCTATATGTACAATTGCAAAAGGTCTTCTACCAGGTCTAATTGGATGCAGTACTCCTTGTTTCTTACCACTAGGCATTTTATTTACTAGGCATTCGAAACACATCGAAATGTGACACATAACATATCGTTTCATCCCTTTAAACCAGTATGATTCCTTGATTTTGGCAACAGTTCTATCTGCTGAAAAATGTCCCAAAAGATCGTGAAATTTTACTACAATACCTTTTCTCATCGATTTAGGTATGACATATAACAATTTCTCCTTTTCCTGATCTTTCACTTTACGAAACAATCGATTATTCTTCAAGACGTAACTTTCAGTTACATATTTCTCTACATTCATTCTATCATTTATCTTTTTCTTTAAAATGTCTATTAATTTGCATAATTCTGGATCTGAATGCTGAATCATAAGAATTTGTTCATCTATCGTTAGCGTTAAACAAACTTCCAAGTTGTTTTCAATTATAGAGTCTAAAGTTTCTTCTGGCTGATCAACTGGCGATTGGCTCAATGCATCTATGTGACTCATTTTTTTACCTTGCCTGTGCTTTATTTCAAGATTGTATTCCTGGATCAGATTACTCTACCTTTGCTTATCTGAGGATTTGAAGTTTTCTTTGCGTTTAAATAAACTAAAGCTTGGCAGTCTGTAATTACCGTAAATCAGATTCCAATTAAAAATTGTCGAAGTCGTGTCAAAGTCCAAAACTATAGCCTTTAATTCTAATTTGCTTGAATGATAATTCTTTTCTGCTTCTGTTGTTTTCTTTACTTACACAATAAACTAAATGCCACTTTCTATCTTCACCTTTTTGCAACAGCATTCCTGCCAGTCCCTTTGCTGCTTGCTCACGTCTGTGTGCACTTCAGTCTCTGCTTCGGAATTACATATAACGCTAGTACTGGTTCATTAGTTAAATGGTCCTTTTAAAGTACTGAATGCTTCTTGCTGATCTTCATTCCAACGAAATGTTTCATCCTTTCCTCGTCAGTCTCGTTAACGCTGCTCAGCTTTTCTCTGCATATTTC